TAAATTATCGTTTTTTTGTCGTGAAATTTACATATTTTATAGAAATTTTTTATCTAAATGATATATTTGAGATTATTTACTCTGATGGGCTTTTAAGGAATCCATATTTTACATTTTTACCTACTGATGTGAATCAATGCATCAGCAATTACTGTGTTTCTAAGTTTCGTATTTTACCGCTCAAATATTCAAATTTTGATATTTACCCCTAGTTTAGTGATACAATTATTGCTTGCGGCTCGCTAAACTTATTGGGTGACTAAGTACTTCGAATTTTTGACTATATATTTTTGGATATATTTTTTGCTTTCATTATCTTCTATATCAGCAGGATGACATAAGTTTGCGGCAAAAAAGTCTATTTATCGGCAACTGACTTCTCACTTCAAACAACCATCACCCTCACTGTATGTCATATTCGACCCCTGTCACTATTCATCTTACCCTTTCTGAGCCTTTGTGTCTGTTTCTTTTACATTTTTGAAACATCCTTCTATTCTCCCTCCTGAATTCTTCTCACTTTGATGTTCCTCCTCCCCTCTGTGAAGCCCGAAGTCAACTAAAGGGCTAATGATAGCTATCAAAACGCCTGACATTTTTTATAAATAAATAAATTGTTAAATAGTTTGCACGAATTTGATGAGAATAAGGCTCTCAATAGGTCATTCAGAACGCATGAAAATTCTTATGTCATCGAACAGAATTCTGTTATCCAACCTTTTTAAAGAGGTCATCGATGTTTCGCTATTCGCTATCAAAGATAAAATGATCTACAGAACTAAGGAAGTGGCAAAATATTATTTACAAAACTTGAGACTACACACAATTCAAACTTCCTCTACTAGTCATGATAGATTAAATTTATATGCGCATATAGTTGTAAATATGAATACCTATAACGGGTATTTCAAATGATCTGGAAAAGTTTACTATACGATTGCAGAATTGCTGGATGTTGCAGTCAAAAAAGGAAAAATTCGCTAATTCACCACTCAGTTTTGTCAACTGATTAATAGGGTCATAATTTTGCAATCTAGGGGCGTGCGATGGACTTACCTCCACGTAGTGCACTCTGGACAGCGTATACTCATATGACAAGAAGTCCATAAACCGGCAGTTGACTTCTAACTTCAAGCTACCATATTCCGCCACTTTCACAGTACTCATCTTACCTTTTCTTTGCCCCGTGTCTCTATCTCTTTTACATGATTGAATAATTTTCTGTTTCCCCCCTCTCGAATTTTTCTCACTTTGATTTTCCAAATAAACAAATAAATTAATAAATTCATCTAGTAGATTAGCTCTGGCCTTTGTAACGCCTACCGCAATCTATTTAGCATCAAAAGTCAAATATTAGAGGATTTAGAGTGAAGGCTTACCTCTATTGGCAGTACCATTAGCGATTGTTGATTGGTGTTTCCCGGACTGGCTAATCTCACCTTGAACAGGCTGGCGTCTCCACTGGTGCTGAATTAAGTCGAACATTTGCGGATAAGGGCAATTTTGTTGTCTCCTCTGACATCGATTATGATATTGCAACACTTTGGAATGTAGATTATTTGAAGTGGAGTTAAAGTGTTGTTGTGGGGAGTTCGAGTAGTTTGAATAGGATGTATAACCACCTGTTCCATGGAAGGCATTCCACAAAATATCCCCACTCGAACCATTCACATTTTGTGATGGCCTTGGTGAATTGAAAGACACTGAATTTTGAGGTGTAGGTGACCAAGTATTAATTGGATTTGGAAGTAAGTCATCAGTAGTCGGTTGATATGCTGCCTGCAAAGAGGTAAACATTTTTCCCATAACTGTAGGCGAGTAAAATTGAGTTAATAAGAGTTATGTACATAAATATATATATATGCTTACTTTGCCTGCTTCTGTATAGGACGGCGAAAGTGGGGATCTATGATTTGTCATGAAGGTCAAATTCTGCATAGAATCGTAGAAAGGCGAAGTAAAGGCCCCATTTGGTCGATAAGGATTAATTTGAGCTAGAGTATTCTGTAAGTATTGAAAGGAACAAAGGATGATTGCCACACACAGTTGCGTATTTCAGTCATGCTGAAATGTCTCACGAGTAAATCGTACTACACTTAGTCATCACACTTAAGGAGTTTAAAATTTACCTGATTTAAGTAATTTGTTGATCCTGAAGTGAAAAACGGTGGGGACAGATCGGTGCGTGAAAATTGATTTGAAACCTATCATAATTTGGGAAATAATTTTCACTTCAACAAATCTATTGTATGATGGATTCTAAAAATTTAATTTAATATTTTACCTCTCCCCCTTGAACTGAGTAGTTTGGAGAGGTGGAATTTAATCGAGTTGTAGAGGAAGGAAGTCCTGTTGGGGATGAATTCTAAAATTAAAGCAAAGACAAAACATCTTGTCGTCAATATTCCATAATTTCTCCTTTTTGAAGGCACTTTTCTTCCAAATGCGATAGTCATACTCAATGCTTTTTTTATTGAATTTGTTTAAATGGACTACTTTCAGAAGCGCAATTATTGTCTAGCCTATCTCACCCCTCGAAAGTTCCTGACTTAAAGCGAATCAGCTATGGGAGATGATCTAATTTAACCCCAAAATCTTTTTTTATAGTAAAAATATTTTGAAACTCAGATAATATCAAGAAATTATTATTAAAAGGAGGCCTATTCCATTTTATACCAAGTTTAGGAGGACATTTAACTTATTTTGAGAACGTCTTGAAGCTTCAATGCGTGAGATGAATAGAAAATTAAGAAGGAAGGCACTATTTTTACCTAAAATAATCGATTTCCCTGAGTTTTTTGCCATAGCTTCGACTCAAGTCCTCGGAATTCGACAACTGCTTAGATTTAATCCACTAAGGAAGATTGAACTTGGTGCAGCACATAATATAACGGTTGCAGAAACCTGTTTTAAAGACGGATATAATTTTTTTGTGAATCGACAGTTTGTGAAATTGATGTTTGTTAAGAATTGAGCACACCGATGGAGCAAGTCACCAGGGGACTCTATAAACTTCCTTCCCTAATGAGAAGGACAAGTTGAAAAATTCTTTTTTTATTCAAAAAGACATTCAATTTCATTTGAAAACTTTGTTTCCAATGGCTTCATTTCTAAAATCCAAAATAATCAAAGAACGCAATTCGACTTTAATAGTAATTAATCTTTTTAAATTACAGCGAAACATCGGGAACGATTTATAATAACTGATCGATTTAATTGCCTGCAACCATTGCATAGAATTAATAACTTTGGTTCCAGTTGCCAGCATAAAAATGCTCTTTTATAAATATTTTCTATTTATATTTTATATTTTATTTATTATTATTATTTTTGACGATTTGCCTATATTGCAATCAATTCTCTCTCTCTCTCTCTCTCGATCTCTCTACCTGCAATGGACGAACTTCTAATTGGATTGGGATCTTACAATTAAAAAAATTAAGGCACATTTGTCTTGAAATTTATCCTCCAAACAAAAGCCCTCAACAGTCTTGAGGAATGGAGTTTCAAAGGAGACCAAACTAACATAAAACAAGGAAAAAATGGAACATTCTGAACTATTGATTTCAAGATCGATTTGTTTTCATTCTTTCAAACCAATTTGTTAATATGCAAGACCCAACGTTTCATTGAAGCTTTGTTAAAACGGAGTACCATTACTGAACGTGGCCTCTTATAACTCCTCCTATTTGACCTTTATATGCTCATAAGGATCGCAAGATGCCATTTAATATTGAAATAGTTATAATATCGATAAGTTGGCGAGCAATCGATTGTATTTAATTATTGAAATCGATAAGATAAAAAGGTCTAAACAAATAACGTGTGCACTTAAATACACAGAAATAGATGAGATTGATGAATGGGAAATAAAAGTACTTCGAGATGAGTACTGCTCAAGTGGAGAGCTGGAGTGTTTCGGATGAGAGTGAGCATTCATGAGAACATGCGTTTTTTCTGCATCTTACCAGTTAACCAGGACATAAATTCTCTCTCTGCTCTTACTTGCTTTATACACTCCCCCCCACCCC